CCTTTTTGTTTTATCTAATCCTTAATCTTAGTATATCGTTACTTCAAGTTCTCATCTATTAACAATCCATTTTTACATAAACCTTAATAACATTGCTGCTAAAACCACTTAACTTCATTCCAACATCATTCTAACATTCATTAATTTTACAATATTTCTGTAAATAGTCTTTAAATTTCTTCCAATCTTCTTCCACCGACTCTTCTCCCTGGTCTCGGATTCTGCCAGTCATCTCCGCCAGTTCCATATAGTCCATCACCTTCACTGCCATTCTTCCCGAGTGGGTAAATCTTGTGTCTTCCAATACTTTGCAATAAGTATTCTCGCTGCTGTTGTAGCATACATAAAGAAATTCTATCCTTCTTTGGCACCAAATTGGCCGACAATGCCCAGGAGAAGGCCTCTGGTTTCTTCAGGAAGGTATATTGAAATACCTTTTTCATTTCATTATATATATCTCCCCAGAAAGCCTTAATCCTGGGCACGCCCACCAAAGTAAATTTCATTGTGTTTATCATAGCAGTGTTGTATGCTGCTGCATCATAAAAAAAATACAAATAAAAACATATCAGAAGTGTTTACAGCAATAAAACCACACAACAGAAACCATAACAATATTAAAAACAGAGACCAATTGTTCTTAGTTATTGGATACGTTATTCAATTGTATTCTTTTTTAATTAATTCATTTAACATAATTATTACAAAATATAAGCAAAATATTGCAAATACATATATAAAGGTAAAGGTAGAGGACCCCTGACTATTAGGTCCAGTCGAGAGATCACAAGGAAATGTTAAATACTATCTTTCATTGCCATCCTTCCTTTCCTGTTTATGACCTCCGGGATTTGCTAAAATGCATTCCGCATTCCTCCTTGATTCCTGTTTTATTTACCTGGACATGTAAAGGTAAAGTGACCCCTGACCATTAGGTCCAGACGTGACTGACTCTGGGGTTGCCGACGCTCATCTCGCTTTATTGGCCAAGGGAGCCGGCGTACAGCTTCCGGTCATGTGGCCAGCAGGACTAAGCCGCTTCTGGCGAACCAGAGCAGTGCACGGAAACGCCATTTACCTTCCCGCTGGAGTGGTACCTATTTATCTACTTGCACTTTGCTGTGCTTTCGAACTGCTAGATGGCAGGAGCAGGGACCGAGCAACCGGAGCTCACCCCGTTGCGGGGATTCAAACCGCCGACCTTCGGATCGGCAAGTCCTAGGCTCTGTGTTTAACCCACAGCGCCACCCGCGTCCCTAAATACATACATACATACATACATATTTCAGATGAAGCACATACATACACACACACATATATATATATAAAGAACAAAGAGAAAAGGAAAAAAGAAGATAGGAAAGTTGGAAGAATTTCTTCCAAATTTAGTCTACAAATATCTCAATATGAAAATAATTGTATTCTTATTGGCCGTCAGAGGTCTGATAGGATAGAAAAGGTATCATCAGGTATTTGAAAGTTGGCACAGGAGGTACCTGCTGAATCTCTTTTGGCAGGAGTTTCCACAGGATTGGGGCGATTCTTGCTATTATCAAATGAGCCTCCCCCACCCCTGTAGTGATCGTGTTGGGATATCAGGGTTTGGGCAGTCCCTGGACCTAAGTTGTGCAGGGCTTAGTAGATTAGCCCGGAATGGGGCAACTGTGCCCCTGAAGGACCAGGTGCGCAGCCTGGGAGTCATTTTGGACTCACAGCTGTCCATGGAGGCGCAGGTCAATTCTGCATCCAGGGCAGCTGTCTACCAGCTCCATCTGGTACGCAGGATGAGACCATACCTGCCCGCGGACTGTCTTGCCAGAGTGGTGCATGCTCTGGTTATCTCCTGCTTGGACTACTGCAATGCGCTCAACGTGGTGCTACCTTTGAAGGTGACCCGGAAACTGCAACTAATTCAGAATGCGGCAGCTAGACTGGTGACTGGGAGCGGCCGCCAAGACCATATAACACCAGTCCTAAAAGACCTACATTGGCTCCCAGTACGTTTCCGGGCACAATTCAAAGTGTTGGTGCTGACCTTTCAAGCCCTAAACAGCCTCGGTCCAGTATACCTGAAGGAGCGTCTCCACCCCCATCGTCCAGCCCGGACACTGAAGTCCAGCTCCGAGGTCCTTCTGTTGGTTCCCTCCCTGCGAGAAGTGAGGTTGCAGGGAACCAGGCAGAGGGCCTTCTCGGTGTGGCGCCCGCCCTGTGGAACACCCTCCTATCAGATGTCAAGGAAATAAACAACTACCTGACTTTCAGAAGACATCTGAAGGCAACCCTGTTTAGGGAAGCTTTTAATGTTGCATGTTTTATCATGCTTTTAATATTCTGTTGGGAGTTGCCCAGGGTGGCTGGGGAAACTGAGCCAGATGGGCGGGCTATAAATAATAAATTATTACTATTATTACAACAGACTTGAACCTGCTTGGTAGTAAGGGGGAAGCCGCTTCAGGCCACTGAGAAAGCAACTAACAAATAAGTAAGCAAAGACCTTCACGTCCTTCTGCCTGTCAGTGTAGACCAGGTGCGGGGGAACTTTGTTCTGCCAAACATTGCTTCGCTACAACTCCACTGGCCAAGCCTTTCTGGGGATGATAAGAACTTGGTGTTGATGGCATTGGGGTTGGATAGACCCAGCGCCCTGAATCAGTGGAAGACAGATTCCTGTGTTCCTGTGACGACTAGTTTGAGCAGCAGGCGGGAGAGAAATTTTGGGACATGCCCGTCTGAGTACCTTCTGTCTTGTTGCAGTCCACGGCTGCGGTTGGAGGGCAGAGTGACGTCCCCTTAAAGGAGGAGGAATTCCTGGTGACCGAAACAGCAGGTGAGTAGCAGTGGGAGGGGCTGATGACACTACTTCAGGGGCACAGAGGGGGCTGCTTGGGGTGGACAAAGCCCGCAGAGCATTCGCGGCAGGAGAAGTTAGAGGAGCTCAGCACCACATGTGGTAGAAGATACCTTCCCTTTCCTTACATTTCCAACACACATTGGTTCTTGTATTGTACATTTTAGCCAGATTAAAGGTAAAGGGACCCCTGACCATTAGGTCCAGTCGTGGCCGACTCTGGTTTTTGTGGTGCTCATCTCGCTTTACTGGCCGAGGGAGCCGGCGTACAGCTTCCGGGTCATGTGGCCAGCAGGACTAAGCCGCTTCTGGCGAACCAGAGCAGCGCACGGAAACGCCGTTTACCTTCCCGCCGGAGCGGTACCTATTTATCTACTTGCACTTTGACGTGCTTTTGAACTGCTAGGCTGGCAGGAGCAGGGACCGAACAACGGGAGCTCACCCCGTCGCGGGGATTCGAACCGCCGACCTTCTGATCGGCAAGTCCTAGGCTCTCTGGTTTAACCCACAGCGCCACCCGCGTCCCTCTCAAGAGACTGCTTGTGGGCAAATTGGTTACCTGTGCCCGTTTGGTCTGAGAACAAATCGTGTCTCCACAGCGCCACCTGCGTAATCCTACACGACAGGTGGCCATCCAACCTCTGTTTAAAAAGGAGAGACTGTTCCGCTGTTGAGGCAGCCGTGTTCCTGCCTGCCTTGTGTTTTCTGCCCTTCTGTTCACCCTTCTGTCGTCTTCTCCCCTTTGCAGTGTCTCACAAGGAAGGCAAATTCCGCTCAGAACTCTCCAAGCTGCTGATCGTCGCCAAAACTTCCCACGACGAGCTGTGAATCGCCGAGTTCCCTTGCCTGTTAGAAGGTGCTCTGCTTTGCCGGGGACACTGCAAGCGGATTTTCTGGCCGACTCTTGCAGGGGTGGGGACCTCTCTCCTGTGCTACGCTGGAGTAGGAATTGGGGAAGCATTTGCAAAACTGCGCAGTGCTTTGGCACCACAAACCCTGGAAGCTCCTCTTGAGATGTTTCTGGTGTTCTGCTTCGGCAGCAGTCTCTCGGAATACGAATTGTCACCGGCGGTGCGGGGAATAAATGTGGGGCGCCGTTTATCATCCTAGCAATCTTCGTTTCCAGTCTGATGGTGCAGCACCCAATCTGGAGAGACCAGCGGCAGCTGTCACAGAGAGACTGCGTCTGAAAACCATCGCAGAAGTTTTGATTCCTCTGATCGCTTTTCATCCAGAAAGGACCAAATAAATACACCGGCGCATTCCCTCCCCAACTTGTCTTCCCCCTCCGTAAGCCAGCTTAATAACCACAACAGAATCCCACCTTCTCTCTTCCTTGGTGAAAAAGGGCAATAGTTCGAATAAATCAGAATATATATATCTTACAGTTTGCCTCTGTTCGTCTCTTTGCTGCTGCGTCCATTTCCTGGGCGCTAATAAAAATTGGTGTGCAAGTCTCGTCTATCTTGCTCTCAAGAGCAGGGGTCAGCAAACCTTTTTCAGCAGGGGGCCAGTCCACTGTACCTCAGACCTTGTGGGGGGCCGGACTAAATTTAGAAAAAACAACAACGAATGAATTCATATGTCCCACAAATAACTCAGAGATTCATTTTAAATACAGTGGTACCTCGCAAGACGAATGCCTCGCAAGATGAAAAACGTGCAAGACGAAAGAGTTTTCCGTTTTTTGAGTTGTTCCGCAAGACGAATTTCCCTATGGGCTTGCTTCGCAAGACGAAACGTCTTGCGAGTTCTTGCGAGTTTGTTTCCTTTTTCTTAAAGCCGCTACACCACTAATAGCCGCTAAGCCGCTAATAGCCGTGCTTCGCAAGACGAAAAAACCGCAAGACGAAGAGACTCGCGGAACGGATTAATTTCGTCTTGCGAGGCACCACTGTAAAAGGACACATTCTACTCATGTAAAAAACATGCTGATTCCCAGACCGTCCGCGGATTTAGAAGACGATTGGGCCGGATCCGGCCCCTGGGCCTTAGTTTGCTTACCCATGCTCAAGAGCATTGAAAAGAGCAGTGTCTTATTGTTATTCGTATTGTTATTTTTAAATATATATATATTGTATTGAAGAGTTTTCTTGAAGGAACAATGCAACGCCATAAAAAGCAACCTAACCCCTGGTGCAAGGTCAAAATAAACTTGTAAGATTATGTCGTAGAATGACATGGAACGATAAATGATGACTCTACCACAGGAATACATTCCCACCCACAGCATCAGAAAAATTTAAAAGCAAAAGCCAGAGTTGCCCCCCCTTTCTATAACCACTGTGTATTTTAAAGAAAAAAATCTCAAGATGATTTACAATACTTTGAAACATCCCCCAAAACCCAGAAGGAAACGTTACTGAAGAAAATCACATGTAAAGTATACATCCAAAGAAACATACAGTGAGGGGGGAAAGTATTTGATCCCCTGCTAAATTTGCCCGTTTGCCCCCTGACGAAGAAATGAGCAGTCCGTAATTTTAATGGTAGGTTTATTGTAGCTGTGAGAGGCAGAATAACAACAGGGAAACCCACAGAAACCCAGAAGACATGCGCCACCGATTCACGACTGCCATCTCCACAGGGGCATAAGCGTTTCTCGTGTGGCATCTGTTGGAATCGTCCCTCAAGTCCAGCCGAGGGCAGTACATTCAATCTTGCAAGAGTAAAAGCGTGTCTATGTTTTAGAATTGCTAGGTGATGCAGATGGGGCGCCAGAGAGTCGAAATGGGAAGGTGGAAAGTAGTCATACCTTTGGCAAAATTTCCTTATTGTGGCCAAGTTGTTTTGACGCTCGATATCATTTAGGTAAAGGTAAAGGGACCCCTGACCATTAGGTCCAGTAGTGGCCGACTCTGGGGTTGCGGTGCTCATCTTGCTTTACTGGCCGAGGGAGCCAGCGTACAGCTTCCGGGTCACGTGGCCAGCATGACTAAGCCGCTTCTAGTGAACCAGAGCAGCACACAGAAACGCCGTTGACCTTCCCGCCGGAGCGGTACCTATTTATCTACTTGCACTTTGACGTGGTTTCGAACTGCTAGGTTGGCAGGAGCAGGGACCGAGCAACGGGAGCTCACCCCGTCACAGGGATTCGAACCGCCGACCCTCTGATCGGCAAGTCCTAGGCTCTGTGGTTTAACCCACAGCGCCACCCACGATATCATTTAGGCGCTGACAAATTAGACTGTTTGCTTTACTAAAACCCAAAGCGAGTCGCTGTTGCGGTGATAAACCTCAGGAGTGAAGTTTTTGATAGACAGATTTAGTCCAGGCACTCGTGTGACAATCTTGCAGTGCTAGGGATATTAGACTGGGGCGAAGCCAATAAGTGTTTTACGCCAGATCCATAATTCTACCGAGGGAAGATTAGCCTCTTGGACAGATAGAAAAATAGAATTGTAGTGTTGGCAGGGACCCTGGCGGTCATCTAGTCCAACCCCTTGCAGTGCAGGAATAAGCAACTCGAACCTGCAACCTTGGCGTTACCAGCAACCACACTCTTTAACCAGCTTTGGTTTGACTGGGTAGGGAATCTTCCTGTGTTTCGCCGCGAGCAGCCGTCCTTCCTCCGAGGACCGCTTTCCTTGGCATGTAATTAACGAGGCTCTCAGCAGGTTGTTGACTAACGAGTGGAAAGGGATTGCCGCTGCATCTCTGGCCTCCTTCCTTGGCAGCATCAATCACCTGTCGTTCTGCGGCGCTTCCGTGGAGCTGCCGACACTCCAGCTGCTCAGCGTTCGCCAGCAGCTGGTGGGGTTGTCAAGGAAGATGCTCCAAGATTCTGGGAGACGAGCAAGCTTTAACTTGCTTCATTTTTAGAAGGCAGATCTCCTGGGCTTAAAGGGTTGGCTTAAGTCCAGGAATATCTTCCCAATAGGGCCGGCCCACCCATGAGGCAAGGTGAGGCGACTGCCTCAGGTGGCAAGGTTCACAGAGGTAGCAGATCCCAATGTAAATCTTTATTCATTCTTATTATTACAGTGGTACCTCGGGTTAGGGGGACGCGGGTGGCGCTGTGGGTAAAAGCCTCAGCGCCTAGGGCTTGCCGATCGAAAGGTTGGCGGTTCGAATCCCCACGGCGGGGTGCGCTCCCATTGTTCGGTCCCAGCGCCTGCCAACCTAGCAGTTCGAAAGCACCCCGGGTGCAAGTAGATAAATAGGGACCGCTTACTGGCGGGAAGGTAAACGGCGTTTCCGTGTGCTGCGCTGGCTCGCCAGATGCAGCTTTGTCACGCTGGCCACGTGACCCGGAAGTGTCTCCGGACAGCGCTGGCCCCCGGCCTCTTGAGTGAGATGGGCGCACAACCCTAGAGTCTGTCAAGACTGGCCTGTACGGGCAGGGGTACCTTTACCTCGGGTTAAGTACTTAATTCGTTCCGGAGGTCCGTTCTTAACCTGCATCTGTTCTTAACCTGAAGCACCACTTTAGCTAATGGGGCTTCCTGCTGCTGCCGTGCCACCGGAGCACGATTTCTGTTCCCATCCTGAAGCAAAGTTCTTAACCCAAGGTAATATTTCTGGGTTAGCGGAGTCTGTAACCTGAAGCATCTGTAACCTGAAGCGTATGTAATCTGAGGTACCACTGTATTATTATTATTATTAATAATAAAAATAATAATTTGGTTTTTCAAATTACAGTTTACAATCTCATATGGTGCTGGAGGAGACTCTTGAGAGTCCCATGGACTGCAAGAAGATCAAACCTATCCATTCTGAAGAAAATCAGCCCTGAGTGCTCACTGGAAGGACAGATCCTGAAGCTGAGGCTCCAAGACTTTGGCCACCTCATGAGAAGAGAAGACTCCCTGGAAAAGACCCTGATGCTGGGAAAGATTGAGGGCTTTCCCAAACCAGGGGGCTGGTCCACCTTGTGGGGGGCTGGACTATATTTTTTAAAAAATAATAATGAGCGAATTCCTATGACCCACAAATACCCAAAGATGCATTTTAAATAGAAGCACACTTTCTACTCATGTAAAAACACGCTGATTCCAGGACCATCTGTGGGCTGGATTGAGAAGGCAATTGGGCCGGATCCGGCCCCTGGGCCTTAGTTTGCCCACCTATGTGCTTCACTGAAGTATGAAATAAGACGACACAAACACCAAAAGACACACAGCGGAATGTGGATGGTTTAATTTATTTCCCCCGGTGATTATTATCTTTAAGCTTAAAGGCTCAAAGAGTCTAAAGAGTAGAAAGCAAAACAAAACAAAACTCAACAACACATGTAAAATAATAAACTTGAAGATGACCTCGAAATCGTTCCAGATTATACCCCAAAATGAACTTAATTCACATTCTGTTCACCTAGAAATTCTGGGAACTGCTTCCAGGTATAGCTCAGAGATTTCTGAACTAAGTCACTGAACATTGCCAAACTAGCACAGTGCTAGGTATACAGTGGTGCCTCGCAAGACGAAATTAATTCGTTCTGCGAGTTTTTTGTCTTGCGAATTTTTCGTCTTGCGAAGCAATGCACCCTGGGTATTAACGGTTTTAACAAAAAGGAAACAAACTTGCAAGACGTTTTCGTCCTGCGAAGCAAGCCCATAGGGAAATTCGTCTTGCGAAGCAACTCAAAAAACCAAAAACCCTTTCGTCTTGCGAGTTTTTCGTCTTGCGAGGCATTCGTCTTGCGATGTACCACTGTACTTTCTCTCTGAATGCAATGCTGTGACCTTCAGACGCCTTTAAAAAGGGTCGGCCAAATTCATGAAGAAGGAATGAGGACCGAGGAACGGGATTGCGAACTGGCCAAAGGTACAGTGGTACCTTGCTTTGCAATTGTTTTGGATTACAACCAGGTCAGACCCGGAACCCCATTGGCCCCATTGGCGAAAGAGCGCCTTGGGTTACAACCTGTTTTGGTTTACAACCGGACCTCCGGAATGGATTATGGTTGTAAACCAAGGTACCACTGTATCTGAGTGCTGCCAAACTGCGGGGCAGAATAAATCTTTCCTCCATAGCGGTCAACTTACAGATTTGAAAATAAGGGGCCAGCAGCCTCGAAAATAAGGGACCAGCAGCCAAAATAAGCGATTTTAGTCAACCAGCTCCTTTCCTCTTGGGTGTGTTGGGTGGAGGTTGCTGCGACTCTCCAACAAGCTGACATTCTCCCCCGAAGGTGTGCTCCTCCCTTATCTCCCGAGACAGATGGATGCTCACTGAGGCCCTGCTGCGATGTAAGCAGACCCTTGCGGGGATGGGTCTTATCCCTGCGAGTGGGGGTGGCTGGGAGGTGGGGGTAGTAGCCCTTTTCTCCCAGGCAGCATTGAAACCCGGGAAATTTAAGGGACACCATCAATCCGGGACAGCAGCGGGACACGGCGCTGGGATAAGGGAGCGTCCCGCCAAATAAGGGACGGTTGACAGCTATGCTTTCCTCCCACCCTGCAGTGTTTAGGAAGAGGAAGGGGGTTGGTTGTTTTTGTGTGTGTGACAACCTCTTAGCCCAAATTGCCACGAGGGCTTCCCCAAACCAGTGTTCCCCAACCTTGGGCCTCCAGCTGTTTTTGGACTACAACTCCCATCATCCCTCGCTAGCAAGACCAGTGGTCAAGGATGATGGGAATTGTAGTCCAAAAACAGCTGGAGGCCCAAGGTTGGGGAACACTGCCCCAAACCACCTGCCTGTCTGCTTTTGGAATAAGGATGCTAAGCTAGGGAGTCTTCCAGCCTGATGACCCTGCAAAGCAAACCTGCTCTGGAGAAGGCCGGATTCAGACCCACCTTCCATCTGGTGGTAAGGTAAGGTCTTTGCCAAACCATTTCATTTTGTGGGAATGAGGTGTGGGGTGTAATCCATTGGCGCAGTCAAATACAACATTCCTTGTTTCCCTAGAATGGGCACAAGCAGGGGATGGTACTCCAGTCAGTATAACTTCCTGTTCTGCTGGTCTGCAGGATCCTTCCCCTGCATTTGACCTGGGAGATGGGTGCAGCCCAGGCTGACTCCATAAAAGAACCAAGTCACGCGACCATTTTCTTCTCTTGATGCTGCTCTCTTAATGTATTTTGCTGTCTGCTGGGTCTCAGCTAGCAGCACATGAGCTAAATCCCCATAAAGGATGAACTCACACTGTGTTCTGTAACCACAAGCTAAAGTCTGCCTTCAGGGATCAAACAGAACTAAATGTGAGTAAACTTCTTGTTACTTTTAAGGGAAGACTCTTGTGCCTTTATTCTTTTAAGAGGGATCAAAGGGGACACCAGGAATAATCAATCTGGGCAAGCCAGATTGGATGACAGTGGTACCTCGGGTTAAGTACTTAATCCGTCCCGGAGGTCCGTACTTAACCTGAAACTGTTCTTAACCTGAAGCACCACTTTAGCTAATGGGGCCTCCCGCTGCCGCTCCGCCGCCAGAGCCCGATTTCTGTTCTCATCCTGAAACAAAGTTCTTAACCTGAAGCAGTATTTCTGGGTTAGCGGAGTCTGTAACCTGAAGCGTATGTAACCTGAAGCATATGTAACCAGAGGTACCACTGTACTTAACTAAAGGGATTCAAAACTGAGGAGAATCTGCTCTGCTGCATGACTCACTAACGTGAGTGAAGGAAGGATAATACTTAATCAATATATCCTCTCCTACTATCCTTAACATTCCCACATGAAGTGGAGGAGGAGGACGGACCATTTGAACCAGGGATAACACCCTCCCCGCAAGCCCCTAAGCATGACCAAGCCGAACCCCGAAAGACCACAAGTTGCTTCGTGCCATGCAGCATGGAGAAGCCCGAGTGGAGGCCACCAAAATCAACAACCATCTCCTGATGTTCCCTTGCCAACACAGAAAGCTTTCTGAAAGCTGGCAGGCCGGGCTCTCAGATGTTCCCTTCGTCGAGCATTTGGTTGAGCCCTTCGCAGATCCTCTGCAGGTGCGTGCGGTAAGGCTCAGACGACCCGTAGAGGGCCGAGAGGAACTCGTAGTCCGCAAAGTGGTTGAAGACGTGGTTGATGCGCGAGTGGGACTTGGCTGTCAGGTGGGTGTTGACAGCCTGGTGGAGCAGCTCGGAGCACTCCTTCAGCATGTTGGAGAGGACCCGCCGGTCAAAGGTGAAGTCTATCTGGTAGAAGCTGACGGCAGTCATGGCCAAAGCGTGCAACTTCTTCCGGAAGCGATCCATGAGGGCCAGCTCGTCCGCGTTGAACTGTCCGTTGCGGTAGAGGACACCCAACTTCATGACCACCTTGATCAGGTTCTTGATGATCTTCTGGGCTTCCTTGCGGTTCCTCGTGTACTCCTTGGTGACCCGGTACAGTTCGTCCAGGATCTCGCTGCTGGTGTCATCAATGAAGATGCTGGCCATGTTTTTGGACGCCATCTTGCTCAGAAGCTTCTTCTGAGCTTGCAGAGCCAGGTTCTTGGTGCTGAAAGTGTCCATCTTTTCTGGAAAAGGCGAGAGCACACAGACATAGTAGTAATAATATTATTATTATTATAATAAAATAATAATAATAATAATGGTTATTTATTATTTAGAGGGACGCGGGTGGCGCTGTGCAGGAGCAGGGACCGAGCAATGGGAGCTCACCCCGTCATGGGGATTCGAACTGCCAACCTTCTGATCAGCAAGCCCTAGGCTCTGTGGTTTAACCCACAGCGCCACCCGCGTCCCCCTCTTTCTGTAGTCAGCAACTAATACGTTGAAATAGCAACAACTACAACTTGCAGGGGGCTGGACGAGACGACTCTCAGGGCATCTTCCAACTTGACAATTGTATGATTCTAGCTTTGTTTAGGGACGCGGGTGGCGCTGTGGGTAAAAGCCTCAGCGCCTAGGGCTTGCCGATCGAAAGGTCGGCGGTTCGAATCCCCGCGGCGGGGTGCGCTCCCGTTGTTCGGTCCCAGCGCCTGCCAACCTAGCAGTTCGAAAGCACCCCGGGTGCAAGTAGATAAATAGGGACCGCTTACTAGCAGGAAGGTAAACGGCGTTTCCGTGTGTGTCTCTGGTGAGCCAGAGCAGCGATGTCACGCTGGCCACATGACCCGGAAGTGTCTCCGGACAGCACTGGCTCCCGGCCTATAGAGTGAGATGGGCGCACAACCCTAGAGTCTGTCAAGACTGGCCCGTACGGGCAGGGGTACCTTTACCTTTACCTAGCTTCGTTTTGGAAGCCGGACTCGGCCAACATCTCTGTTTGGGGCTCAATTACCGGAGCGACTCCTGGCTCCTGTCGCTTGCAACCAGAGACCCTGCTCTACATAGCCATCTCTCTTGCCAAGGGGATAAATCTTTCATACAGCTGTACAAAGAGGACCTGAATAATTTACGGAGCAGCTTGTGGAAGAGAGATGGAGGGACAGGAGCAGACCAGAAAGATAAAAAAAGGAGGCCTCAATTGTTTTCAGCGGTGACCACCTCCATCCGTACTGTTGCCAAACCCAGATACGTGCGGTTTGTCCCGAGGAACGAGGGCTGACTCAGCTTCGAATGAACGAGTTTGCAGAATTCGTTCAAAGATCTCTGGACCTCCCCTTGAAAGCAGCCCCAGTGGAACTGAACATGAATTATGTTCGTTTTGGGGGTAGGACTAGAGCTCTGTATGCATAATAATAATAATAATAATAATTTATTATTTATACCCCGCCCATCTGGCTGGGCTTCTCCAGCCACTCTGGGCAGCTTCCAACCAAATATTAAAATACAGTAATACATCAAACATTAAAAGCTTCCCTAAACAGGGCTGCCTTCAGATGTCTTCTAAAAGTTTGGTACTTGTTGTTCTCTTTGACATCTGGTGGGAGGGCGTTCCACAGGGCGGGCGCCACCACCGAGAAGGCCCTGTGCCTGGTTCCCTGTAACTTGGCTTCTTGCAGTGAGGGAACCGCCAGAAGGCCCTCGGCGCTGGACCTGTTTCCGGGCAGAACGATGGAGGTGGAGACGCTCCTTCAGATATACTGGGCCAAGGCCATTTAGGACTTTAAAGGTCAGCACCAACACTTTTAATTGTGCTCACAAACGTACTGGGAGCCAATGTAGGTCTTTCAAGACCGGTGTTATGTGGTCTCGGCAGCTGCTCCCAGTCCCCAGTCTAGCTGCCGCATTCTGGATTAGTTTCCAGGTCACCTTCAAAGGTAGCCCCATGTAGAGCACTGTATCCAGTACAGTGGACGCTCGGGTTGCGACTGTGATCCGTGCGGGAGCCACGTTCGCAACCTGCAGTTCGCAACCTGCATGCACGAGCTCTGAAACCCGGAAGTAACCCGTTCCGGTACTTCCAGGTTCGGCGTGGCGCGCAACCCGAATTCACGCAACCTGAAGCGTCTGTAACCCAAGGTATGACTGTATTGAAGACCCAGTTTGATGGGTCTCCTTTTCAGTTGAGGTGAGTCTGCTCTACAGACTGTGTTGCAAAGGAACAGCTGGAAGTTGCCACCAGTCAGCTAATCGGCGCCGACTTCAAACTCTGCTCTCTGCAGGGATCAGCTGTGCTACAGAATCTTGTAATGCAGCAGATCCCAGCAGGCTTGAAGTCAGAGATGATCCCTGATCCTTCAGATTCTGCTTTGGCTACTGGGATCGGCTGTGCTGTGGTGCTCCCTGTAGAAATTATGGACCACAGCCGAGGGCTTTGAGTCAGCAGCGATCAGTTGATAGTCACTGAATTTGAGTGCTGTTGTTTGCTGGGATCGGCTGTGCTTATAGAGTTCCCCATGGAGAATTCTGTAACACCCAGCAGATTTTGGCTGAATGTTAAGAAACGCTTTTCCAATGACAAGAGCAGTTGGCTCTCTCGCCCTGACCTAGCCACTGTGATCCACGCGACGGTCACCTCCAGGCTTGATTATTGTAACTCACTCTACGTGGGGCTGCCCTTGAGACTGACCCAGAAACTCCAGCGGGTGCAGAATGCCGCGGCGAGACTCCTTATGGGGTCCCTGCCGCGGGATCACATTCACCCAGTGCTATACCAGCTGCACTGGCTCCTGGTGGAGTACAGGATCAGGTTTAAGGTGCTGGTTTTAACCTTTAAAGCCCTATACGGCCTAGGGCCCTCGGACCTACGGGACTGCCTCTCCTGGTATGTCCCACAGAGGACCTTATGGTCTTCAAACAAAAACATCTTGGAGATCCCGGGCCACAGGGAGGTTAGGCTGGCCTCAACCAGAGCCAGGGCCTTTTCAGTATTGGCCCCAACTTGGTGGAACGCTCTGTCACAAGAGACCAGGGCCCTACGGGACTTGACACCTTTCCACAGGGCCTGCAAGATGGAGCTGTTCCACCAGGCCTTTGGCCAAGGCACAGCCTGACCCCCTTTCTCCTTCTGTAATCTTCACAGAACTCTAACCCGATGGTTGCCATTAATTTGATTCTGAATTGATTCTGGAACGTATTTTAATTAACTGCACAATTTTATGTACACTGTGCTGTTTTTACCTGTTGTTAGCCGCTCTGAGCCCGGCTTTGGCTGGAGAGGGCAGGATACAAATAAAAATTTATTATTTTATTATTATGATAAAGAGCTGTTCAACAACGAAACAGGCTTCCTTGGGAGGTGATTGGCCCTCTGGGACAGCTACCTGTCAGGGATGTTGTGGTTGCACTGGAGGCCCTGAAGCCAGCAGGGGGCTGGACTAGCAGATCTCTCAGGCACCATACGCCTCTATGATTCCAACGGGAACGAGCCGTTCTGCGACTCCGCTGCTGGCAAAGTTGAGCTTTCTGGAAAACCCGGCTAAGATTGCAAGTGCAGGCTGACAATTGAAGGAGGAGGCCGTTCCATGGAAGGCCAACTTGCCGTGCTGTGGCGTGGCATAAATATTCCCGCTAATGAGCCAATTAGTTACACAAAGCGAGGGAAATATTAGGCACCATAGCAGATTGGGCCATAAATCACATCGGCAAAGCAGCGCCCCGTGGACCCCTCCTCTCCCAAACCTGAGTGATATGGCAGTTAATAAATTAAACGCACACTTTCTTGCACCCGGGAGTCACGATTTGCAAGCTCTCTTTGCAACGGGAGGGCCAGGAAGGCAAGTCAAAGGTGAATGCCTCATACGTTTGTGTGACCATTCGCTGAAGCTTAACCCCATAACCTCTTTTCCTGCGCAGCGAGAAAACAGGTGACGCAATTAAAGGGGGGTTTCTTCTGAGCGCAGGATATATCGGCAGGAAGCTGCAGGATATTCGCTGACTGGAAATGAAGCAGCGCGACCGCCCCAAATCTCTGGCAGGAGCAAGCAGCGCTGAAATTGGGAACATGGCTGCCTGCTCCCAAAGCACAAAACCATCACGAATTTGCAATAAAACAGACCTCTAGAGTAGGGTTACCAGACGTCCCCGTTTCCCGGGGACAGTCCCCGGATTTGCAAATCAGTCCCTGGACAAATTCCATCCCCGGAATGTCCCCGGATTTCATCTAATGTCCCCGGGAAACGCAGCAGCGGTGGTCTCAGCAGCCCAGGACAGTTGGCTCTGGCTGGCTTCAGGAGCTGCTCAGAAGTCCCCATATGATGGTGGTGCAGGGGCTCTCAGATGCAGAGTCCGGGCTGCCTCCACCTTCCCTGACCCCAGAAACTAAGCTGTGAAGGGAGGCTTCACGCTGCCTGTCGGAGCAGCCTCCCAACTCCTACTTGTGTGCAAGCAGGAGTGGGACGGGGATCTCTCAGCTGTGAAAGGAGGCTTCATGCTGCCTATCAGAGCTTGCGTGCAAGCAGGAGAGGGCAGGGATCTCTCAGTTAGGCAATGGGAAACCTCCATTCCCAGCTGATGGATCCCCGCAACCCCCCTGCTAGCACGCAAGTAGGAATGGGATTGGGGCTGCTCCGATGGGAAGGGAGGCATCGCACTGCCCGAGCCTCGCCGCCGCCACTCTCGGCCCTCCTTCTCCACCTTCCATGCCTGACCCACCGCACACCGCTGACACACCACTGAAGAACCAACAACTCAGGGGCTGCCCAGACTCATGAAAAAGGAGATAGAAGCCTCGGAGGAAGGGGAAACCTGGCGGGTGAAGCCACGGTGGCATCCACCCCTCTGCCACTGACATCACTGCAGCATCAACGTCCTGAACATGTAAAGGACCCCTGACCATTAGGTCCAGTCGTGGCCGACTCTGGGGTTGCGGTGCTCATCTCGCTTTATTGGCCGAGGGAGCCGGCGTACAGCTTCTGGGTCATGTGGCCAGCAGGACTAAGCTGCTTCTGGCGAACCAGAGCAGCGCACAGAAACGCCGTTTACCTTCCCGCCAGAGTGGTACCTATTTATCTACTTGCACTTTGACGTGCTTTCGAACTGCTAGGTTGGCAGGAGCAGGGACTGAGCAAAGGAGCTCAACCTGTCATTGCGGGGATTCAAACCGCCGACCTTCTGATCGGCAAGTCCTAGGCCCTGTGGTTTAACCCACAGCGCCACCCGCGTCCCTATCCCGAAGGTGTAGTAGTTATTTATTTAATAGTTAAAGTGTCCCCGGATTCATTGAAAAAAATCTGGTAACCTTATGTATGGACACTGAACCTGAAGCACTGAAACTGTTAAGCTTATTGCAACTGGGTGCTGCACGTTGTTTAAGTAGAATCCTAGAATCACAGAACTGTAGAGTTGGAAGGGACCTCAAAGAGTCATCTAGTCGATCCCCCTTGGAAGGCAGGAATCACAACTAAAGCATCCATGACAGATGGCCATCCAACCTTTGCTTGGAAACCTCCAACGGATGAGAGTCCCCCATCTTTCCCCTGTTGAACTGCTCTTACTGTCAGAAAGTTCTTCCTGATGTTGAGTCGGAATCTCCTTTCTTGTAACTAGAAGCCATGGGTTTGAGTCCTACCCTCCAGAGCAGGAGGGCAAGTAATCTTGCTATATTCATAGTATTGAAATGTGGCTTTTTGTATGTCATTCTTTCTGCTTTGCTGTTTAAAGACAAGGCAAACCTTAAAAAATGTAGCATAAACACCGACAACTGGGAAACACTGGCCTGCGAGCGCTCCAGTTGGAGAACAGCCTTTACCAAAGGTGTCGTGGGTTTTGAAGACGCTCAAACTCAGGAGGCAAGGGAGAAACGTGCTGAGAGGAAGGCACGCTTGGCAAACCTTAAGGTAAAGGTAAAGGTACCGCTGCCCGTACGGGCCAGTCTTGACAGACTCTGGGGTTGTGCGCCCATCTCACTTAAGAGGCCGGGGGCCAGCGCTGTCCGAAGACACTTCCGGGTCACGTGGCCAGCGTGACAAGCTGCATCTGGTGAACCAGCGCAGCGCACGGAAACACCGTTTACCTTCCCGCTAGTAAGCGGTCCCTATTTATCTACTTGCACCTGGGGGTGCTTTCGAACTGCTAGGTTGGCAGGCGCTGGGACCGAGCAACGGGAGCGCACCCCGCCGCAGGGATTCGAACCGCCGACCTTTCGATCGGCAAGCCCTAGGCGCTGAGGCTTTTACCCACAGCGCCACCCGCGTCCCTTTGGCAAACCTTAACCGGGATCAACTCCCACCCGGAAACCTCTGCCCCCAGTGTGGAAGGACGTGTGGATCCAGAATTGGCCTCCACAGTCACTTACGGACTCGTGATTAAAACTGTGTTTTTGGTAAGGTTACCAGATGTCCCCGTTTCCTGGGGAAAACCCCCAGATTTACAAACCAGTCCTCATACAAAAATCATTGAAGTTGAAAAGTGTCCCCGGATTAATTGAAAAAAATCTGGTAACCTTAGATAATCTCACTCAGCTACGAGGGATCACCAAAGAAGAAGAAGATTGACATGTGGCCTTTTGTATGTTATTCTTTCTGTTTTGCTATTTTTCTAGAAAAAGGGGGGACAGAACTCACCATGAATGCCTCTTTCTTTCTCTTAGAACGGCGCCCACCTGAGAGGGGCCAGAACTGAGTTCCAGTGAGTTCTGGTTGAAAAAGAAAAGCCCTGGCTGTTATTGTGAAATATTTACTTTGCTATTGTTCTGCTACGTTATTATGACATATTTTGGGGGTAGCGTTTAATGGAAATGAATCTCTGTTCCTTTGTTGTAAGCCGCTCTGAGCATGGTTTTGTGTGTCAAAAGGCTGCATACAAATACCACATCTTTCACTCTATAAGACGCACCAGACCACAGGACGCACCTAGTTTTTGGAGGAGGAAAACAAGAAAAAAAAAATTCTGAATCTCAGAAGCCAGAATAGCAAGAGGGATCGCTGTGCAGTGAAAGCAGCAATCCCTCTTGCTGTTCTGGCTTCTGGGATAGCTGCGCAGCCTGCATTCGCTCCATAAGACGCACACACATTTCCCCTTACTTTTTAGGAGGGAAAAAGTGAGTCTTATAGAGCAAAAAATACGGTAAAATGAATGAATGAATGGAACTGGGACTTGATTCAGAGCAAACACACCTTAGGGTTGTGTTGTGTGGCTGCAGTCAGCCTTTCTCCTGAGTAGGCCATGCATAGGCTTGAGCCAACTGAAGCCTCTCCACCCAACGGAATTTAGGGACAAGGTTTTAGAAAGGACAACCTGTGGCGATGATTTGCTCAGAAGAGGAATCGGCACTTGGTTGCTAAACAGCGAGTCATTATTTTGGGTTACCTTAACTTGCTGCTATCTTAAGGAAATCAGCCCTGAGTGCTCACTGGAAGGACAGATCCTGAAGCTGAGACTCCAAGACTTTGGCCACCTCATGAGAAGAGAAGACTCCCTGGGAAAGACCCTGATGTTGGGAAAGATGGAGGGCACAAGGAGAAGGGGACAACGGAGGACAAGATGGTTGGATAGTGTTCTCGAAGCTACCAGCATGAGTTTGACCAAACTGCGGGAGGCAGTGGAAGACAGGAGGGCCTGGCGTGCTCTGGTCCAGGGGGGCACGAAGAGTCGGACACGACTAAATGACTAAGCAACAACAACAACAAACTTGCTGCTGGGAGGATTAAAACACCGAATGAATATCCAGATGCAAAACGGTGTTTACTTTTGATTTTGGCGATTAGGACCGTAATTATGATCTCAGCCCTGGGCGCTCCTTTGCGGGTGAAAACAAGCTGGCGAAAGCAGGACCTGCAAGAATCCTTAGCAACCGCCGTTCAACTCAGGGTGCCGACTTTTAAACTGTGTGATTTTCTAAATTCTAACTGAGGAGGGTAATTCTGTCTGCTCCACGCTGTTCTCAATGTTTAAATTTCGTGTACAAATTGCAGTAGCTGGTGTTTCAATCGGGTCTGGCGATTTTTATGCACTCAGTTGCATTTATATACATGTTTGTATCCTGCACTCAAATTACAAGCGGCCAAGTTACCCCATCCAAATCTGTGAGAGCTTAATAATTTTTTTAAAAAGAGGTGTTTGTGTATTTTGAATGTTCTTCTCCTTTTCTGCCTCCCACATACATCCTTCCTGTGGTTCCTTTTGTTTGCAGCAAATACGTAACTCTGGAGCAGAAAACTCATGTTCAGAGTCACTGTCCTTGCATTGTTTCTTATTTAACCCCCAACCAGGGAGTAAAAACACTTTGCACATGCTCAGAGGTGCTCCCATTTGCTCCCGGCCAGCTCGATGGAAACCTGCCTGTCCGCTTCAAGTGCCAGAATCCGACCCGAATGATCTTATTCTTCCTTCCCAGCCCCAGCAGACCCACTAAAGTGTTTCTGGGGATAGCAGCTTAGTCAGGAGAGCAGATGACTCCTAATCTCAAGGGTCGTGGGTTCGAGCCCTGCATTGGGCAAAGCAGATTCCAGGGTTGGGCTAGATGACCCGTGGGGTCCCTTCCCACTTTAAAATTTGATGATTCTTTGAAATGCCGTTATTGTTTGCATTATGCCAGGAGACAGCGGGGTAAGACCTCGTGGCCATAGCAGGGCTTAGATGGCTGTCTGTCATGGATGCTTCAGTGGAGATTTTAGTGGCGCTGTGAGTTAAACTACTAAGCCTAGGGCTTGCCATTCAGAAGGTCAGCGGTTTGAATCCCCGCAATGACGGGGTGAGCTCCCATTGCTCGGTCCCTGCTCCTGCCAACCTAGCAGTTCGAAAGCACGTCCAAAGTGCAAGTAGATAAATAAGCACCCCTCCGGCGGGAAGGTAAACGGCGTTTCCGTGCGCTGCTCCGGTTTGCCAGAAGTGTTTTAGCCATGCTGGCCACATGATCTGGAAGCTGTCTGCAGACAAACGCCGGCTCCCTCGGCTAGTAAAGCGAGATGATCGCCGTAACCCCAGAGTCGTCCGCGACTGGACCTAACGGTCAGGGGTCCCTTTACCTTTACCTTACCTGGATTACAGAGGGTTGGGCTGGATGCGGTGGCGTAGCGTGGGTTGTCAGCACCCGGGGCAAGGCAAGTAATTTGCGCCCCCTAACCCGTGGATTTGCACCCCCTAACCCTAAGCCCCAGATGTTGCGCCCGGTGCGCCCGGCCCCCCTGCACCCCCCACGCTACGCCACTGGCTGGATGACCCCCGGGGTCCCTTCCACTTCTACAATTCTATTATCTTTTCTACTTTTCCCCCTTTGTTCTTCTCCTATTTCTTTTTTCCCTTCCTTGTCTCTTTCGTCTCCCTCCTTCCTTCCACCCTTCTCTCTTCCTTCTCCCTCCCTCCCTTCCAAAATAAACTATCTTACAGAAAGCAAAGCCATGACCATCAGCAAACCACCCAAAAACCACCGCACAGCCACATTTTTTCCTGGCTCACAGCCTCCCGTCTTGGCATCTAGACAAGAAGGAAGTGCGCCTTAGCCCAGCCACTCCAAGCCTGTCCAGTCGCCAGCCCTTTCGGGTTTCGTGGGAACCCGGCTGCCCCGGGGCACGCGCTCGCGCGCGCTCTCCCGCTGCCTCTTACCTGGTCTGCTCCTTCCACATGAGCCGCAGACCCCCTCCGGGTCTTCTCCTCCAAACGGGGACCCCCTAAGCAAGACCCTCGTCTGCAAACCCGCCTCTTCTTAACCTCAAAGATCCGCTTGAGGAAAAGGCAGATTCTTTGGGGTTTTGTTTGTTTGTTTTAAAAAGAAGATGTTTGCAGATACCCTGAATTGAAAGACAATGTCTCAACTTGGCCAAGGCTCGCTTTCTGCTAGCCGCGATCTCTCGCTTTCTCTCTCTCTCTCTCTCTCTCTCTCTCTCTCTCTCTCTCTCTCTCTCTCTCTCTCTCTCTCTCTCTCTCTCTCTCTCTCCGCATCCGGACGAGTCCAAGGTTGAAACTCGATTCTTTTGCAACACAGAGGCAAGTTTCAAATTCAAAGAGGGCTGGAGGTTGGGGGGGGGGTGAGGAGAGGGGGGGGAGGGTGACAGGCCAGGCAGCCAACCAACCATTGCGCAGGGCTACCTACGAAGCAGCCAATGGGGAAGCCAGGAGAAAGAGGAGGGCGCAAAGTAGAGGGATGGGGGGCGAGCAAAGCGCATTCCTTGATCAGCCCCTGCGCAGCCTTTGAGAAGCGGGAGGGATGTGGGTCTAAGTAAGGGAGAACCGTCCCCCCCCACCCCCCCAGCCTCAAGGCAGACAAGGCACGATGCCAGAAGCCCTTTTTGTGACACCTGGGCCGAGTAGTGGGGTGCGCGCACCCTTCCTTTCCATTCCTCTTTCCCCCACTTTCTCTGGGTGCAAAATTGGCTCGCAGAACGCAGCGTGGGAGGTGCAGGACATGTCCGGTTGCCATATGTCCTCTTTTCCCAGGACAGGTCCTCTTTTTCATGAGCCGCCAAAGCGACCCATAGTTGTTGTTGTTTAGTCGCATAGCTGTCAACTTTCCCCTTTTCTTGCGAGGAATCCTATTCGGAATAAGGGATTTTCCCTTTAAAAAAGGGAAACGTTGACAGCTATGTTTAGTCGTGTCCGCCTCTTCGTGACACCCCTGGACCAGAGCACGCCAGGCACTCCTGTCTTCCACTGCCTCCCCACAGTTTGGTCAAACTCGTGCTGGTCGCTTCAAGAACACTGTCCCACCATCTCGTCCTCTGTCGTCCCCTTCTCCTTCTGCCCTCCATCTTTCCCAACATCAGGGTCTTTTCCAGGGAGTCTTCTCTTCTCATGAGGTGGCCAAAGTCTTGGAGCCTCAGCTTCAGGATCTGTCCTTCCAGTGAGCACTCAGGGCTGATTTCCTTCAGAATGGAGAGGTTGGATCTTCTTGCAGTCCATGGGACTCTCCAGAGTCTCCTCCAGCACCATAAGTCAAAAGCATCCATTCTTCAGTGACCAGCCTTCTTGATGGTCCAGCTCTCACTTCCATACATCACTACTGGGAAAACCATAGCTTTAACTATACGGACCTTTGTCGGCAAGGTGATGTCTCTGTTTTTTAAGATGCTGTCTAGGTTAAAAGCAGAAGTCGGCAAATGCGTCCTCTTTTTATTATTTATTTATTTCTTACTCTTCACAGTATTGGCAACCCTAGCTGGGACTTTTTGGGGCTTCCCCCAGTGCGCGGCCGCATGTTCTCGACAAAATCGTCATACGTCAGTGCGGGGTTTCCTCTGCTCTCTCTCTCTCAAAAAATAATAATAATTCAATTTAAGGTCGGCAGAACCGCAACCAACAAAGGGCATCGCAATGCATCGGCCGTCACAACCTCCTCCAAGAAGAAAAGCTTCATTTGAATGATTGAATTGCATTATAAATTGGTGTTGTCATAATGAGGCTATTAGGTAAAGGTAAAGGGACCCCTGACTGACTCTGGGGTTGCGGCTCTCATCTCGCTTTATTGGCCGAGGGAGCCGGCGTACAGCTTCCGTGTCATGTGGCCAGCATGTCTAAGCCACTTCTGGCGAACCAGAGCAGCACACGGAAACGGCGTTTACCTTCCCGCCGGAGTGATACCTATTTATCTACTTGCACTTTGACATGCTTTTGAACTGCTAGCTTGGCAGGAGCAGGGACCGAGCAACGGGAGTTCACCCCGTCATCGCGGGGATTCGAACCGCCGACCTTCTGATTGGCAAGCCCTAGGCTCTGTGGTTTAACCCACAGCGCCACTTGCGTCCATGAGGCTATTACTGGATTAGAATTGAAAACTGATTAAAATTATTATCACGAGAAGAAAAGCTGTGAATATCCCAATTGTCTGCACCCTCTGAAAGGAGGGGGTGTTGGTGGTCTCTTCCGGGGTCTTCCGTTTCCACGTGGAAATGAAAAGGTGAGTTTTCCTTGAGCAGCTCTAATTTTGATCAGTTAGACCTGAGGAACGAGATCATCACCCCACTCGTACTAACCATCCCAGGGCGCTCAACCACTGCCACGATGTCAGATCAAAATGAGCAGATAACAGCAAAGTTTGCTACGTTCATAGCAGGGGCAATCAGAATAAGGGCCACTTACTGACGGCTGATTCAGGACTTTAAATTGTGCTCTTATATCAAATTTCCTTTTCTGCGTATACTGTAATGTTTTACTGCTGCTATGGCCATTGGCTAATGTGAATAAAGTTTTATCTATCTATCTTCCCTTGTGGTGCCAGAGAGAGAAATTGCTTTCTTCCTTCCCCATGACTCTTACACCAGCTGAGTAAGGTTGCTCAGTAGACTTACAAGGGTCCTTTCCACAGCTTGTTTTTGAAAAGCTGACATCGGTGAAAACTAAATACAATGGTACCTCGGGTTACATACGCTTCAGGTTACAGATGCTTCAGGTTACAGACTCCACTAACCCAGAAATAGTGCTTCAGGTTAAGAACTTTGCTTCAGGATGAGAAGAGAAATTGTGCTCTCGCAGCGCGGCGCCAGCAGGAGGCCCCATTAGCTAAAGTGGTGCTTCAGGTTAAGAACAGTTTCAGGTTAAGTACGGACTTCCGGAACGAATTAAGTACTTAACCCGAGGTACCACTGTAATAATAATACAGAGGTACCTCGGGTTACATACTCTTCAGGTTACAGACTCTGCTAACCCAGAAATAGTACCTCGGGTTAAGAACTTTGCTTCAGGATGAGAACAGAAAATGTGCTCCGGCGGTGCGGTGGCAGCAGGAGGCCCCATTAGCTAAAGTAGTGCTTCAGGTTAAGAACAGTTTCAGGTTAAGTACGGACCTCCGGAACGAATTAAGTACTTAACCTGAGGTACCACTGTATGTCCACGTGTTCTAGAGAGGGAGACAAACTTTTCTCCGTCTGTTTTCTCTGTGGCATGCATAATTTTTATGAGCGAGGGCTTCCTTCTCGTGGGGCTCTGGCACGCTTTGCAGTCTGCGCGCCAGAGCCAGAAAACTCCAGGTCTTGCAGACTGACCCTTTCTGTCCTTCTTTCTACTCTTCTCCATGACCCGTTTCCAGCGTTCTCGCCCACGTCTCTGCAACAGGAGCAGCCTCTGGCTATGCTTGACATGTGCTCTGCTGGCGCCCGGCCGCCTCCAGCATTGCATCTCTCCCCCGGGGGAAAATGTCGCTGTTGTTTCAGCTCTGTGGGTGGACTGTAAGAGTTTTCGTATCTGCAGTTTCCACCGCTGGAATGCCTTGAGTAAAGGGGACCTCTGAGTTTCAGCAGAGCATTCTCCTATCAGCTAGGTTTCAGTCCTGGAATCGGGGACAATTCCCCCACCCCCAAACAAAGCATCACATAGAATGATAGAATCATAGAGTTGGAATAGACCACAAGGGCCATCGAGTCCAACCCCCTGCCAAGCAGGAAACACCATCAGAGCACTCCTGACATATGGTTGTCAAGCCTCTGCTTAAAGACCTCCAAAGAAGGAGACTCCACCACACTCCTTGGCCTCCTTGGCAGCAAATTCCACTGTCAAACAGCTCTTACTGTCAGGAAGTTCTTCCTAATGTTTAGGTGGAATCTTCTTTCTTGTAGTTTGGATCCATTGCTCTGTGTCCGCTTCTCTGGAGCAGCAGAAAACAACCTTTCTCCTTCCTCTATATGACCTCCTTTTATATATTTGAACATGGCTATCATATCACCCCTTAACCTCCTCTTCTCCAGGCTAAACATGCCCAGCTCCCTTAGCCGTTCCTCATAAGGCATCGTTTCCAGACCTTTGACCATTTTGGTTCCCCTCCTCTGGACACGTTCCAGTTTGTCAGTGTCCTTCTTGAACTGTGGTGCCCAGAACTGGACACAGTACTCCAGGTGAGGTCTGACCAGAGCAGAATACAGTGGCACTATTACTTCTCTTGATCTAGATGCTATACTCCTATTGATGCAGCCCAGAATTGCATTGGCTTTTTTAGCTGCCGCGTCACACTGTTGGCTCATGTCAAGTTTGTGGTCAACCAAGACTCCTAGATCCTTTTCACATCTACTGCTCTCAAGCCAGGTGTCACCCATCTTGTATTTGTGCCTCTCATTTTGTTTGCCCGAGTGCAATACTTTACATTTCTCCCTGTTAAAGTTCATCTTGTTTGTTTTGGCCCAGTTCTCTAATCTGTCAAGGTCGTTTTGAAGTGTGATCCTGTCCTCTGGGACCACCTCTGGTTCCTCTGCCTTTCATTTTGGAAAGAAGGTTTCTGGCATTTCATAGAATCATAGTGTTATGTACTAAGCTTGGATGCTACAACAATAGGCAGGTAGGAGCCTAGAACGCAACAACTGATTGGCCTGCAGGAGCAGCCCAATCACGCTCCAGGAGGGAAGCAGAATCAGCCAATCAGATAGAACCTATTGTGTAAATAATGTACAGTGGTACCTTGGGTTAAGAACTTAATTGGTTCTGGAGGTCCGTTCTTCACCTGGAACAGTTCTTAACCTGAAGCACCACTTTAGCTAATGGGGCCTCCCGCTGCCGCCGCACGATTTCTAGTCGCATCCTGAAGCAAAGTTCTTAACCCGAGGTACTATTTCTGGGTTAGCGGAGTCTGTAACCTGAAGTGTATGTAACCCGAGGTACCACTGTATATCAGGGTGTCCAACCAGTGGATCGTGGTCTACCGGTAGATCCCTACCAGTAGATCACGGGATCCTTATTGTGTAATAATAATTTATTATTTATACGCCACCCATCTGGCTGAGTTTCCCCAGCCACTCTGGGTGGCTCCCAGTCGAGGTTTAAAACAATACAGCATTAAATATTAAAAACGTCCCTAAACAGGGCTGCCTTCAGATGTCTTTTAAAGAGAAGACAGCTGCTTATTTCCTTCACATCTGGTGGGAGGGCGTTCCACAGGGCAGGCGCCACCAC